CGTGTGCTCTAGTTATGCCTCCATTTCCCTGATTCCATCTTGTGGAAACATAAATTGCCATGCAGTGAAACTGTATGATACAATCTTCATTTATTGCTATTTGCTTTTTAATAGATGTTGGGTCTTTGGAATACAGCTTGCCTTGATGTATGATGAATACTTTTAATCCTTTGGTCGCCTTATTCTTTTTTAATAAGTTAATTACTTTATATTATGTTGATGGATTGTTTTTATGTTTTAGATGATTCCCTAAATATTGCAACACAGGGACTATTAGATAGAGCTAACTGCCACCACCCTGAGTTTTTCAGAAGAGGCTCCTGATTAAAAATATATAATTTCAGTCTTTGTGCAAAGCACTTGTTCCTGTCATCAGTGCCTCAAGATGGAATTAGAAGTCTAAAAAGATAAAGTGCTTTATTCATTTAATAAGTATCCACCAATACTTATTCTCATAGTTTCCCCCATACTTGCTATTTCACTATGAAATAAAGAGGATAAAGGGATTCGTAGGTGTATCATTTCTTAACCACGGTGCCCTTAGTCAACTTAAAATAGCGAGGTTCTCTGGCATCCCAATCTTCTACCAGTTCTTGGCCAGCTTCTCAGAGCTGGCTCCTTCTGTAGGAGGCTGCTTTAGGCAGTGCTTTTGGTTTGCTGTGAGAAGAGGGAGGAGATGATTTCCAAGCCCTTGAAAATGGGAATTGATTTCATTTAGAATAACTTTAGGAAAAGAAGGCATCAGTGTTAAAAAGTAGGGGCTTCGGAGTCAAACAGACATGGGTTTGAATTCTTCTTCTTCCACCTTTGTGATGGTTAGATGACCGTAGACTTACAAGCTTCAGTTTTCTTATCTCTAATGTGCAGGTAATGATAGACCCTACCTCTTACAGGGATTGTGAGAATTAAATGAGATGTTAGGCAAACATTTGGCAGAATTTATTTAACAGCTGTAAATGTCAGTTCTTGTTATTCTTGTTATAATAATAACTATTATTACTAGGGCTCCTATAGCATCTCTCATCGGTCTCACATGACCATGTAATAGGTTTGGTAGTAGAAACTGGTCTGATTTTAAAACTTAGGCCCTATCTAACAGACTGCTTTGCATTTCTAAAGCACTTTACAGTTTGTAAGGCACATTCACACTGGTCATTTCATTAAATCCTCCTGTTTTAAGATACTGTGATCCCTACCATCCCTCAGCTCTAGTTCTTCAGAAGGAGGAAAGGGAATAAACAGAAATAAGGAGGAGGAGCAATGACAGTTAACTGGGCTGGGTCTGAAAAGGAGGTTGAGGAGAGTGACAAAAGGGCCATAAACCCACTTCAGAAAGCTTGCCCTTGTTTTAATTTTAACCTTTTGACTGCCTGACAAGGTCAAACACTTGCTGTTTAGAGATGTCTTTGCTAGTCATTGGACTTCTTTCCAAGCTGAAAAAACATGCATGGCTGTGAGTGTGTGCGCATGTATGTCCACACAAGAGAGAAAGAGAGAGATGGAGTGAGAGCATTATGTAGGAGAATTTTTTTTATTATTTGCTTTATAACATAGAGACAAGACTCAGTAAAATATTAATGGATCCTAATATTAGATGTTGGGTTATAAGAGATGTGAAATTTCTCTTAAGATCTTCTTAAACTGATTTTTTGTGTTCCCTTACCTTAGTTCTGATTTATTTTGCCCTAGAATGATAAAATTACAGTGTTAAAAATGGAACCACTTTATTGCTCTAGACCCTCCATTTCCAGCCACCACCAGGAAACAGACACATAGAAGAAGGGCAAGAAGGATGGATAGAAGAAACTAACATTTACTGAGTTCCTACTTTGTGTCCTGGTAGTCATTTAAGTTATTTATGAATGCATTTCGTAGTTCCACAGATTTTTTTTTTGAGAGTCTTCTATGCACCAGGCACAGTGCTAGCCATTGTGTATAGCTGCTGGCGGAAATAATCCTCTTTCATGGAATCTCGGGAAAGCATTCCAGGGACCCACACATACAGGAGATTGTGGCATGGTACGATTTATTCTGCCCCCAGGCTTCCAATGCCCCATCTCTGTCTGCCCTGCCATGGGAAAAGTCCAGCCTTATCTTTATCAAGGTCAAAACAAGGGCCAGTGCCCAAAGATCCTGTGCCATTGTTCTGGCATCAGCAGTGCCAGTTCCAGTCCAGGTGCTTAGTGCTGTTCCCAACTGTGACCGATTGCTGTGCTGCTGCACCCAGGCTCCTGCTTGGAGCCTGCATTTGGAGTCTGCATGGCTTGGGAAAGACCAGGTGCTTTTTCAAAATGACAAATCAACTTCCTGAGCTTTCACAGGCTTACACTGGGTCTGGACTTTTAACCAAACCCTTCTTTCCCAGGCTAGACTGATAAGCGTCTGTGGTCACCATCTTGGCTCCATTGTGCGTATGTTTATCTCCATCTTTTTATTGTTCGATCCCTTCTTCCGGTGATCTGTAACTTCTGAGGGAAACAAACAGGCTTATTCTCCCTAGTTTAGCTTGTTTAATAATGTCTGGTTCCCTCTGTTCCCTTCCTTTATTAATAACTAGCTAACTACCTACGCTAACATCCTCATAGAGCTCAGAGGCTAGTGGGGAAGGCATTCACTAAAGATGTATATAAATAGACACATATATAAAATTATTAAATACTGTAAAGAAAATAAATAGGATGTGTGTGAGAATAACTGTGGACAGGGCTGCTTTTTATAGGATTATCAATGAAGGTTTCTGTGAGGAGGTGTTATACCATCTGAGCCTTGAAAAGTAATGATAACAAAAATAATAATCCTCACAAGAGTCTTCTTATATATAGGTTCTATCATCATTGTTTTACATATGAGGAAATGGAAGAACAGAGATTAAGCAACCTGCCCAAGGCTGGTTACTTTCTTACACACATTAGAGGACGCAAAAGTCATGAGAAAGAGCCTTCTAGACATAGTGAATAGTACCTACTATGTGTCTTGAAAGTGGGAGAAGCAGGCAGGGTACATACACACATATTCAGAGTACTTCTAGAAGGACAGTGTAGCTGAAGCATGATGAGCATATGGCAGAGTGACAATAAATGATGTTGGAGAGGTAGGCAGTAGTCTGATCACAAGTGGAGAGATTGACCTTTAACAAGATGGGTGACCTTGTTATCCTCTAGTATAAGGTTGGGGGAGAAGGTGATGAAATCCAGGTAAGTTTATAAATTTAATAATGGGAGAATAACAGAGTTCCTTTATGAAAGTTCTTACTTTCTTAATGAAAAATAATATTTCTCACCTGTTGGCAGGTAACATAAGAGAACGACAGGAACTGAAGGTCCAGGGGTATCGTGGGAAGTTTGGGAGAGAAGCCAAAGTGTGCCGTAGGGGTCTTGGGTAGGGTGCAGGTTGCATCAGGGAATGCAGTAGGCTTGCTATACAATGCTAAGTGTCTATTTGAGGTTTATCATCATGAATTTAAAGTAAAATCAACCTGTATAGTTATTGATTTTTCTCCAGTGATGTTTAGTCGGGGAATGCAGAGGTTTGGGTGCCCCCAGGATTGGTGTTCTGCCAGTGGAGTCCAATGGTGGGAGAGAGTGTTCAGCTGTATTTGCAAAGGACTGATTGTAATAATGGGTTATGCAATCTGGAGAGTGGTGTTGGGAAATAAGGGGGACTGATCATTAAAAGGTGGTGGGTAAGTAGATTGTAGGTTGAAGAATTTGAGGGACTACCTGAGCAAATGAGGGGAAAGCATATGAAAGTATTTTCAGTGAATAGATATTCTGAGATTTTAGAGGTGGTGCAGCTCTCCGGTATACCCACTGTGATTGAGGTGGGATGGATGGAAAGGTATTGGAATGACATGCAAGGGTATTGGGGATGACCTGGTCTATGTATTGAGGCACTTGGGTATTGGACAGATTATTCCTTTAGGTGAAATTGCCAAGACTGAAGACAGAAGTTGGGGTGGGAAAGAAGACTAGGAGGCAGGAGCGCAGTCAGGCTTCAGTGAGTGAGGAGAACGACCGTCAGGTTGGTGGATCACAGGAACAGATACGGGGGGGAGAGAATGGTGTGGCTGGATGGCTGGGGTCTCAAAAGCACAGGCATGTTTGCAAGAAAAGAGAAGTAATAGTTTGGAAATCATGGGGGTGAGAGTACCTACCTACTCCACCTCCTGACCTGGAAGATTTAGAGTGAAAAAGACAAAAGAAAAATAGTCTTCCAGTCAGCAGAAGCAGCAATATCCTTAATGACCACCAGGTTTCGACTAAGGCAGAGGTGGAGGGCATGTTTTTTGAAAAGATGATGTGCTGATTTATGGGAGTTTGCTGATTAGTGTGAGAGTTCCAGAGGCAAGTGGAAGGTTTGGGAGGGAGGAGTGGTAGGTGTGTAGGAGGAATTGGAAGTATGATAAGATGGTTAGGGCAAAAATGGAAGACCAGAGACCCTTGAACTTCAGTGCAGATGATGGAAGTAAACAGACATACTGCATAGTGGAATTAGCCCCCCATAGTCTCTGAGAAGGCAAGCCCTTGGTTCCAGTGCTACAGGCCTAAGTGCTTCTTCAGAGAGTGTGGCAGCTTCTCATGCAGCTTTTTCCAAGGTCTCAAGAAGTGAGAGGGCAATTTTCAGGGAGGACGCTGATGCCAAGGTCTATTGGTGACTTTTCCAAGGTCACACTGAATAAGTAGCAAAGCAAGTCTCCTGCTGCTAAATATCAGATCTGCTCACCACTCTGATTTGTTCTAATTGTAGCACTCATTTACCTTACTCCTTGCAGAACTGAATCCATCAGACCATTAGAAAATGAAAATTAAAGGAAAAAACCCCTTAAAACTAGACAGCATTTCCCCTTTGGGACCTTTCCAGGTTCATGAGCAGGTCTGTGCAGAAAGGACGAGAATGGCTGTGCTGCATGCAGGCCTGGAGAGCCGCCACTATGGCCCAGTGGGGTCTGCATAACCATGGCTGTGTGCTTTATTTACCTCATGCGTGTGTTCTGTCCACAGGGTCACGTAGGCACAACAGCCACCAAGAAGATTGATGTCTACCTCCCCCTGCACTCGAGCCAGGAAAGACTGCTACCAATGACTGTGGTGACAATGGCCAGCGCCAGGGTGCAGGACCTGATCGGGCTCATCTGTTGGCAGTACACAAGCGAAGGACGGGAGCCGAAGCTCAAGTAATCCTTCCTCTTTCTGGCTGCTCTAGTTTCTGGCTGTCTCCTGGCCACCCGTGCTGCATTCCAGGCCCAGCCAGTCTTTCTAGGCATTGGCCTGAGAACCAAACAGCCACGCTGATCCAGGTCAGGTTGCTCACCAGATCTTGGGCCTGTGTATCTCAGGCTTATCTCAGAGAATCTGCTTGTAAATAAACTGATTAGTTTGTGAATCCAGACACGAGGAAATGCGTTTTAGCAGTTTCTAAAACCTTTCTTGAGGCTTGCTGATAAAAATGGCATGGGAGTTAGTGGGAGGGAACTAATGTTTATTGAGTACCTACCATGAGTTGGGCACCATGCTGGGCATTTTGTACCTGATTTCTCGTTGAATTCTCCTAGCTCCCTATGAGGTGAGCTTTATGATCCTCATTCTGCATAGAATTGTTACTTGCTGCAGTTACACCAGTAGGAGATGGCAGAGTCAGGATTTGATTCCTGATCTGTTCGATGTCAAGGTTTTTGCATTATTTCCTTTGGTCTGAATTAGTTTTCTTCGTTGCCAGTCAGTGGCTCAATTTTTCTCTCAGTCACTAGAATCTATTCCTCGTTAAACAATTATTTTTAAAATGTAGTGCTTGAAAGTAGAGTCTCTGTGCTTGTACATCATAACTGGAACTTGAAAGTGCTTTGCTGCATCGATTCTCCCTACTTAAGTTTCGTATCTGACAAGCATCCTCTTCTAGTTTCAGGTGTCCCTCCCAGCAGTAGTGTTTGGGAATCAGCAAAATGTGGCGGGGGCCTTCCTTTTAGAAATGCATTCTCCTGCAGGCTTTCTCCTCTCACATTTTCAGGGTTAGAATGGTCTGGCCTACTGTCAGTTGTTTGGTTTTCTTTTTTTCTTTTAGATACATTATATTTGTACTTATTATTATTTCAAGTTCTTATTGACATTGCCCTTTACTTTGACTGAATAAATTGTGGATCTAAAGATAATCTTTATTGCTCCTGGGGCAATTGAAAGCCTTTTTAACCAAGATACCACCTCGGCTCAGAAAAGGGTCATTAGCAGCTCTGCTAAGGCTGAGCTATGATCATCCTTTTTTAGCATAAAGTGGAAACAAGAAAGCAGGAAAGGGAGTCACAGTGCTAGCAACTTTATATATGTTGTCTGAGTTAATCCTTAAAACATTGTTTAGTGCAGGAACTGAAGCCAAGAGAGGCAGAGGGACTTACCCAGGGTTACACAGCTAGTAACAGAGATAGAGTGCACTGGAACATGCATTTACAGATGAGGAAACTAAAGCTTTGGGAGGCTAAGTAACTTTCCTAAATCACATAGCAAGTGATAGAACTGGTATGTAAACCCAGGAACCTCTGATTCTTAGTGAAGCCCTAACTCTTCGCTATTATATTACATTATACTCTCTACTATTGGTGATATGAAAATAGTTTTTAAATGCATGCTTATTCAGGCACTGTGCTAAAGCTGGAAATATAGACGTGAAAAAGGCAATTCATGCCATTGAGGAGCTTATTGTCTAAGGTAAATAGACAATAATAATACTGTATAATCCATTGCCAGGTAAAATCTGGTTCTATGAGAAGATCTGACCTCATATTTGGTGGTGAGAGTGGAATCATAAAAAATAGCCTTAAGGGACATCTAAATGGAAACCTGAAGGAGGAATAAGAAAATGTGATGCAGCTCTGACTGGTGTGGCTCAGTGGTTTGGGCATCATCCCACAAACCAAAAGGTCATCAGTTCGATTCCTGGCCAGAACACAAGTCTGGGTTGTGGGCCAGGTCCCCAGTTGGGGGCGTGCCGGGAGGCAACCAATCAATGTTTCTCTCACACACCAATGTTTCTTTCTCCGTTTTTCTCCCTCCCTTCCCCTCTCTCTAAAAATAAATAAAAATCTGTTTAAAAAAATGTGATGCAGGGCAGTTGAGAGGGTTTTCTAAACAGAGGGAAACCATCACTCTGGTTATGGTGGCCCTTTAAATTCATGCTTTAAATTCTATATTCTGCTCCAGATACATAGTGATGATAAATGAAATATGTTCTTGACATAGTCGTGCTTAATAACAAGATTAACATTCTGGTGGGCTAGAAACAGAACCAAGTACAGAAGTAGGCAGAGTGTGCTGGGAGTTGATTCTTTTTTTTTTTTTTTTTAATTGGGTGCTGATAATTTTATTTGTATATGGAAGATAGACTGAATTGTTTTAATGTCATGGCTTTCTGAAGGGCTGTCATCTTCATATCCATTTTCTGCCACTGACCTCCAGATTACTTGGCTGGTTGACCTTGGGGAGGTCTTGGCCATCTGCCTCCTTGGCGGGGAGGATGGTGGTGAAGACCTCCTAGAGGGGGTGGTGTCTGCCAAAGACCAACATCTTGGTTTTCATCATCTCAAGGGGGTCTTGGTAGGAATTCTTGAGAAGGTGGTCCCTCAGACTCCTGATCTGGATGCTCGTGTATGTCCTCTAGTATAGTGTTTGTAGAGTCTTCATAGATGACATCTTATTTTTCTTCTTGTTGAAATTCTTTATTGGGTTGCAGTTTTATTCTAAGTAAAGTATGAGGCTTTGTCATGAAATGCGGACGACTAGCCTTATCCTTGTCTTAAGAACTCCGCAGCCTCATCTTTCCTCTTGTTGTTCTGGGAGTCGATTCTTTTAGGGTATTACTGTGAACATGCTGGGAATGAGTTTTACCAGTATGTGAAAAACAGATTTTTCTCGGGCTTCAGCGTAGCTAGGCAAGGCCTGAGGTGGTCAGAGACCCCAGCCATCATTTCTCGGTAGGGAACGTTCTCATCCATCTACCTGTGTTGGTGTACACATACCATTATTGTCTAAGTATACCATGATGTTAAAAAAAAAAAAAAAAAGTGGGAAACACTGCTTAAGAATATGTGGACCAAAGGAACCTCACACCTGGATGGAGATCAGAGGAAGTCTCACTGCTGAATTCTAGGGGCTAGGGTGGAACATTCCTACCTGTGAAAAGAAGCAACATAGCTAACTTAGTCTGTGACTTGTTTAAAGTTGTGTTTCTGGCAGGGGTGTTGGGGTAGCAGTAGGACAGGAACCTGGCCATGAAGTGACTGGGTTTATGGTAGCCCTAGTGTTACCAAAGTGTAGGAACCCTGTGCAGCCAGAATAAGACCTGGCTCGAGACTAGAGGCCTCTGCTCAGACAAGGATGGAAGGTGGTAGCAACGTTGATAGATAAAAGCATTAGACAAGGATGGTGAGAGAGGAAGGGGCCGGGGAGAGAAAGAGATAAAGTGTTTTTATTTAAAATGAGCTAGCAAATTAAACTCCAAAGCAAATGAGTACAACTAGTACTAAGAAAGAAAGACAGTAATCAGAAGAGTTTACTCCCAACAAAATGTAATGAGACAATCTGAAAAATAATGTCAAATAAATACACTTAAAATTATCAAAGAGATGAAGGAATACCATCCATGGTAGACTTTTAGGAAATTGTGAAACAAATGAGCAGATGAGAATCAAGAGGTGGATTTAGAAAAGAACCAATTAAAAGTACTGGAAATATAAAATGCAGTTATTAAAGTTAAAAAAAAGCATGAGATAAACTCTAGACTGAGCACAGTTAAAGAGGGACTGAGTTGAAAGATAGCACTAATGAATTCCAGCTAGGATGTAACACAGAGATAAAGAGATATAGAGAATGAAAAATGAGTAAGTTAAGAGACATGGAGGAAAGATTGAAAGCCTCCCATTTGTGAAGCAAAGAATGGAGGGAATGGCAGAGAAACAGTATTTGAAGAGCTAATGCCAGAGACTCTCCCAGAATTGAATGCAGATATGGACAAGTCTTCATATAGAAAGTACATACAAATTAAATGAAAGGATAGCCTTTTTAACAAATTGAGTTGGAGCAACTGGACATCCATAAGCCAAAAAAATCAGCTACACCCTAAACCTCATACCATTGTATGAAATTAACTTGAAATTAATTGTGTCTTGCATGTAATGTGTAAAACTGTGCCTTTAGTAGAAAACAGGAGAAAATCTTTGGGATGGGAGGCTAGATGAAGAGTTTTTATATACATGGCACTAAAAGGATGATCCATAATGGAAAAAAAGAAGATAAATTGGACTTCATCAAAATGAAATACTTTTGTTATACAAAAGAACCTTACTTCTTTCCCAGTCCAAAAGCTGTTAGGCAGCAGCCATTCTCCTTTGTCCTTTGCCACGGGCCAGAGTCTTCATCTCCGCCTGGCCAAAGGGGATGGAGGGTATAGGAGGGATTGGGCCAGTGGCAATGCATCAAACAGTGGAATTTAAGGCAAAAATGTCAATAGGGATATTTTGGTAAGCTGTAAAATGAAAAGGAATAGCCCACCAAGGTAATACAGTAATTCTGTGTATGTATCTAAAAACATAGTCTCAAGATACTTCAAGGGGGTTATAAAGAGGCCCTGACTGACCCTTGCTGGTGTGGCTCAGTTGGTTGGAGTGTTGTCTCATAACCCAAAGGTTGAGGGTTCAGTTCCCAGTTGGAGCACATGCCTAGATTGTGGGTTCGGTCCCCTGTCTAGGCATGTATGATCCCTGATCTGGGCATGTACAATCCCACCTCATCAGTGTTCCTCTCTCTCTTCCTTCCTCTCTCTCTAAAAAGCATTTGGGGAAAAAGTGTCTTTGGATAAGGATAAAAAGAAAAAAATTTTTAAAGAGGCATCAACTGGTCCACAGTTAAAATGGGAAGAAATTTAAATACATTCCTATCAGAAAGTGATAAATAAAGTAGAGGAGAAGTTAGTAAGGAAAAGAAAGTGTCAACCAGTTTTAATTAGCAATTCAGAACCCCCGAAATAGAGACTATTTCTGATAATAGTTTGTAAGCCTCTGAAATTGAATACATCTTATTAAGATTTTTATTCCTAAAGTATATCTAGTGTGTTAACATTTTCAAATAGTTGCTCTGTAATTATATTTTGAATCACAGTTATGTTGAATTTAAATAAACCATTGTCTTTTGA